ACCTACAGAGGTTTGCCTTTGTGTCTAGAGAAGGGGAGAGCATGATCTGACAGGTAGAGGTCAGAAAGACCTGTGACATTTCCACAGATGTCAGCATGAAGGAATGCCACACTCAACAGCCAGGTCAAATGCTTGTACTGGCTCTCTTGGAATCTTAATGCTGATGAATCCCTTAGAGCTGAAGTCCTGCTATACATGGAAACAGGAAGAGAAGGGCAGTATTCACTTTGACTGGCTTTAAGCCTGCTATGATAAAAATGCAACCCATAGTCTGAAATTTGCCTTTGGGTTAGTTAAAGATAAATTCTGAGGTGGGGGCAGAGGGGGAAAGGACATTTTCTGGTATCAGTGTGAAAGCCTCATTAGAGAAATGAATTTCAGTTTTAAGGAAACACAAACAAGTTACATTTTTATTGCTAAACGTGTGGCCTGTTGTCATTGGTGGTGTGTGCCACTGGGTTGGAACCGACTGATAGCCGACCCTCCAGTGGGTTTTCAGAGGCAGTAAATCACCATCTTTCTCCCATGGAGCAGTTGATGGATTTGAACCGTGTGCCTCTGGGGATTGCAGAAGAGATTCTTACCACAAGGTCAGCACAGCTCCCTATTTATGGCTTAAAAATAGTGTATCATTTCATCTTATTGATAAAACCAGGCTTTTCTAATTAACGTAATTATTTCTCACTCTATGCTACAATCACAGAAACCAAGTTATGGTAACAGCATTTTACTACGAGCCGGGAGGATGGACTTTTTGTTTGAAGTCAACTCTATTCCGGACAATGAGAATTCTAGAACAAAATGTGGTACAAACTAACATATCATATTTGCCACAATAGAAAGAAAGGCTACCCATCGAGCTAAGGGGAACAGGATGTAAAGATAGGGCTCATCCTCATTCAATTATCTGGACAAGATGAGGGCATCCAATAAAGGAAACTTCACCACAGGGGATAAGAAAGACAAAAGGATGCTAATTCTCTGACATCATGCTAGAAGACTCTCCAATAAAGACTTGATTCTAATCTAACACTGTTAAGGCATGTCACATTATATCTAACAATCTGCACTGGTAAAAGGGTGGATGTCTTAAATCCTTGCAGTGTTGGAGGCCAGCCTGCAGAAATTCATGGTGCTCGACGTTAGGTGCTGCCAATTTGATTCTGACTCATACTGACTCTTTGCCCAACAGAGACAATGTTTCCTACTCCTGCACCATCCTAACAGCCACTGCTGTGGTTTAACTTATTGATGCAGCAATAAGCAAGATCGTTTGATCTTGTTGAAAGCCTTTCTCTGAAAGCTACTTTCCCAAGCATGACGATGCCTGTCTTCATGGGCTGGTCTCTCCTGGTAACGCACCGCAGCATGTGAAACTTCTCTTCTAAGAAACACTCGAGCCCGTGATATGTTCACTGCTCTCCACCAAACACTTCAAACCTGGACAACAGTTCAAAGATGTCAATTCTTCTTGGGACATTTTTATTGACTCTCCACCTTTTACATGTACATGTTGTTGTTGTTGATTGCTGTCGAGTTGAGCACGACTCATAGCCTCCCTATGAACAAAAGACCTTAAGCCTTTCTATAGCTATCATTTCTCAACGTTCATAGAGTTCCCAGAGGCATGTTGTTTCGGAAGTGGCTGTCACTCCTGTATATGAGGTGATCGAACATATCATACTTCAGACATCCAAGCAGGTATATGCACACCCAAGTTTGTTGCGGCTTTGTTCACAATAGCAAGGAGCTGGAAACAAGCCAAGTGACCATCAACGAATGAATGGCTAGAGAAACTGTGGTATATTCACACAATGGAATACTACGCTGCATTGAAAAACAAGGAACTCATGAAATATTATTCAAATTGGGTGACCCTGGAGGACATTATGCTGAGTGAAATATCTCAGTCACAAAAAGACAAACACTGCATAGTGCCACTGTCATAAAACGGGACTGACATTGGAGTTGGGGGGAGACTGAGAAAGATGGGTTCAAGAATGTATACTGCATTGAAACAGATAAGGGAGAAAACTGTTTAAAAGGGATATGTAAAAATAGGTGTTTTTGTCATGACAGGTGCCCAGAGCGAAGGCTGCATAGTGGAGTGGACCTGAGGGGAGGGTTTGTAAAACAATGATAGAATTTTCCTTTTACTTTTCCAAAAGGGTAGTGTAGTAGGGGGAGGGTTGGGAGGGGAGAAAAGTGCAACAATGAATGAATGGGACTCCCCTCCGAAAAAAAAAAGAAAATATCATACTTCAGTAACTAAAACGAC